GTTCGTTTCAGATTTTGAAGATGCGGACTTTGATTACGATTGTTATTATTCGGACTGGAATTACTTGACTGTTTCAACGACGAATCCTTGGGCTAACCGATGTACCGTCCTCACGGGCAACATCAGGATTGGCCTGCCTTCAAATTTTACGGAAGGACAACTTGAGAGACTATTTCAAAATATTTCTACTATACGAGGAAGTATTGTAGTGGAGGGAACGAACTTGAAGCGATTGAATTTTTTGAAAAACGTCGTCAATATGAATACTTTCTACTCGACCTGTAAGTTGGGGTCTTCTTCACTTAAAAAGTTCTATTCAGAGCATCAAAAGCCCAAGAAAATGTGTTGTGCTTGGGCTGCTCGTAAAGGGTAAAACTAGGGGTGGATGTTTTGGCTTGATGTTTTGTTAGCTACTGTTATTCCGCCGCAGTAGGCGATCCGAAAGTCACACAAGGTTGGCGTGCTATGGACTCAGGTTAGGGGTTAAATACGTTTTCACACACTGCGCTATTCGCTCGGTAACGTCGTCTTGGAGTTAGACTTCTTGATAGATGTAAGAAACCCACTGTAATTGTCATGGATAGAACAAAAGCAGCCCACTTGTCGGCCAGCTCTGATACCGTTGCGTCATAGCCCAACGTATAGGCCACATACGCATTGAAAACGTGACTACGACTCGGAAGGGAAATGGAATGTAGGGGAATCTCATCTAAGGAACGAGGTTGCCTTCCGTCAAAGAGTTTGTACTTCACCCTCAACTCAATCCTCATGCCATTTTTTCTCCTTTATTTATTTATTAATAATGGCCCACGTTTTCCAGTCGGAGGGACAAACTCCAGACTCACTCCCTGCTTTTCAGCTTATATTCATTTGCCAAAAAAAGTGTTAACATAAGCTTGGATCCATTCTTTGTGGAAATCTTCAATATTATATCATGCCACAATTTGATTCAGATGTGATCGAGATTATTGATAATCCACTTCTAACGTCTGTTAACCTGGACAAATTCAATTTTTCTGATGGAATTGTTCGAATTCAACGGAATCCTCTATTAGATGTGAGCAGTTTATGCTCTCGACTGAATAGGGTCCTTGATAAACATTGGGCAGTGACAGGCAACAAAGTCAATTGCGGTGGTACGGTTATTTTCAAATTGTTATTTTTAGGTCTCAAATCTTCCTCGAAATTTATTGTGAGCCCTATTGTGAGTTTCAGGTTTTTATTTGGACTTTCCGTTGACGTTTACATCTATTTTGAATGTGCCACCTAACTTAACACTCATTCAAGGAGATGTTATTCTCGAGGACACAGGTACTCTATTCATGCCCACTGTAAATTGGACAACTGTTCATTGGGAGAACTGAGAGCTCATTTGGGAGAAAACCCCGGTCAACTATCACACGAGTTATTGGGGCGACCATGTTTCGAGAAACGATACGACCCCTTTCTTAGAAGCATATTTCTGATGCTTGTGAACCCAGGAAGCCTGTACTTTCAGCCTTGAAATTGCTTCCAGGGATCCCTCACGAGCGACTCATGGTTCTTTCTACTGTGAAGAAAATTGCTGGATGTTTATCAGTACGGAGGACAAACCTAGAAACCTTGTCATTTTTTCAGAATCTGGAAGAAATCGATTGTCGTGGTATGTTTTTACTCTTACTAGATCAGAGAGGGCTATCACACGTACCCTTTGAATGTTGGATACACCTGAAATCATTGAATAAAAGTGATTATTCATACATTTTAGATAGGTCCGTGACTGCTGCTATAGATATATACTCGAATAATTATTTAAACTACCTGGGCGTGTCAAAGCTCACCAAAGTTACTGCCATTGTACCTCCCAGATGTGAATATAATAGAATTCTTGAGATAACTTACGATGAAGTCAACATGTTGATGTCTACGGGTTTGCCAATTACCGAATTCAATGGGATCATGTCAACAGGTAAGCATATTTGACATCACCATTCCCATCGTAACACCCCTGCAAAGTACCCTCAGCGGACGTGCGGGTGATTTTCCCACTTGTGCAGGCCAAATGAGCCACTCTAAATACACCATCCAAAGTCCCCATACCTTCTTCAGCTCTTTTAATATGTATGTAGTTGCAGCATCATGCTGTACTAGTTCGGGAGCTCTTGGAATTCAGAGCTTCCAACGCCTTCTAGCCACCCATTTGAAAGAAAAGTACTGACTGTAGAGGGTTTTCATCCTTCCCAAGTCGATGTAGAAGCCAAAGGCTATGTCATCATAATTGAATACCTTCCAGTACTGCTAGAATTTAGAAAGGAGACTGAGTGGGTGCAGGATCTAAAAAGGGCATCAATCAGTAACATGTAGTCCCCTCATCGGCTGATTAACTTATTAGAATGTGCAATTATCACATTCACACCCCCATCATAAGCTGTTGATTTAATCGACATCCCGCTGTTTTCATTACCTTATTTGGCACTACAAGGGAGGAATGTAAAAGAAACGAGAATGTAGAACCATCCTTTTTTATATTCGTCCGAGTCCCCTTTTTTGGGAGCCGCAAGTCAAACATGTAGCCCAGCGTTTCCATCCTATCACTCCTCCAAAGTATCCTAAGCGAGCGTTTAGGTGGTTTTCCTGCCTTTGCTGTTCAAATAGGCCATCCCAACCATATTACCCAAAGTCTAATGAAGCAACAGTAGCGGTTTCCAAAGCGAGGCATCAAAACTTGAGGGTTCCATTTTTCCTGAATTTCAATTGCAGCGGGGTCTACCTTCTCCTTCTGTGTATCAGTGGAAATTGTCAAAAATTTCAGAAAATCTGCCATGGGATGCATGCGTTTTCAATTCTCAAACGACTGATCTAATTACGATCTCTCGGAACTGTACAAGCTTGATCGGTTTTCTTCATTACGAAAATAGAACCATTCCTCCCTTGGAAATAATTATTCTAAACCGGATTCGTCATATTTACGGCAATATCAAGCTAGTTAATGTCAGCATAACGGATTTGTCAATGTTTTCGGAATTAGAACGAGTTATTTCTCTGGATGGTGAGTTTTCACATCTTTTTTGAAGCTCAACCTAGTCTTGCTTGTATCTGAGCACCGCAAAATAGCACTAGAGTGTTGCAAACCGTCTGTGAAGACGGCTCTGAGTGAAGCTTATACATCTCCAAGGAGTTTAATTCCCTTTACTAATCAAATGGTGGTGGTGGAGTAGCGCCAAGTGGGACACTATTACATGCATGGCTCGGAGATTGAATCCTAGACTGATACTGTCTGGACCAACCGAACGTTCCTTTATTCTGGGGTTGATTAATTAGTATCAGGCTTGTCTGAAGGACAAAAGCCTTGACTTGTACTTCAGCTGACCACCGCAAGTCATTGTATAGACCACGCACGAAATCAACCGCCACTACGAATCTGGATAGAGCTCGAATGCGGTGGCGCATCCTAGGAATAAATTACAATCGAAGACTTCATCCTTCACCAATTATTTCTATCAAAAATTTGTCCATAAAGATGTCTATACATAATAATCGTTTCCAGATTCTGTACCGGCGATTCAGCTGGATTCAATGAGTGCTCTGGAATCAATTGAGATGCCGAAACTGAAGCTTGTTTATTCTCCCTACATCTTTAGATTTGCTGTCGATAATTGCCCAAACATCAATGTCACGCTATCTGTTTGTGAGACAATGATGAACATCAGTCATCATGCTTTTTACATCAACTTCAATACCTGCGGTCGGTTTGTAAACAATTTACATGATTCCATTTACTTAATCTCAAAAAGTTGCAGATCGGTGGCTTGAAGACAAAGCGATGGATCTAGAACTTTCCTGAACTACATCTTTTAGTGCATATTCCCCCTGACATAATAAATATTCTATTTATACACTTCATTTTACACATTACCTTGATATATTGTATTAATATCACTAGACACACCTCGAGTGATTTTCTTTGTAAATTTCGGAAGTAAGTTCATAAGTAATAAAAAAATATGATTGCCGATTTGACGCAGGGATGCAGCAGTATCCTGAAGAGATCTCGTGTACTTTTCTCAAGACGTAAAATCAAGGGAAGGGGTCTCAGAAGGCTCCATTCAAAGTTTGAGGCCTTAAAACTCCGAAAATGAGAGCCCGAGCAGCCATCTGACAACCGTGTAATTGAAGTGCCTCTTTTTTCAAAGGGCTGCAGAT